ACCCATTCGTCTCGAACAACAGCAATAATCGTCGGTAAATCAACCATAGATCTGAACTACTCTACTGCCGCTGCTGCTGCTGCTAAAGACCCCGTCACCGTGGAACCCAGAATTTGAACGAACAAACAAACGAATAAGTGAAATAATCATTAACTCCTTGCGTTGCCTTGTCATTCCTAGTTATCCATACATGTTCTACTCGTTCTCTCCAAGCAACAACCCTTTTCCGTTCCAACAAATTTCGCTCATCATTCATGAAAATATATCTAATCGTAAGCATATATAAAGCCTGGTTGCATCTCACATCTAAAATTTGCGGAAAATCAAATCTGAATTCTCACAATCAGCAAAACATCGAAATTTGACTGAAATTAATATGATTCATGCGAATACAATGCATCACAAACAACTCATAAGTTTTCATATCACATACATAAACAATTTTATGATCAATGACGACTCTCCTCACTCGCTTCGTTCAAAACACCACTTCATCGTGTATTATTACTGTTAATTACGTCAAAATCAGTCTCTGCTATATTTCAGCCGCATTGTAATATGTAAATATTTGATGTGATCGTGCTCTGATTGCACACATACACACTCATATGCACATACACCTGTTATTCGTAAAATCTAATCTGCAATTCATATTCCATCAAAATAAACAAATATTTGGATGCATAGTAACACGTTCATTTGTAAACCTACGAATAATATGAATTGTACAAGTAGTATTTAAATATAAACTTTCATAAGTTCGTCATTCTAATTGTAAGTATCATCGTCAATTTAATTAAGTAATGTCACGCTCTCACACGTACACCTGAATATAACACATCATCTAGCCAACTAATCCAGCCAATTCGAAGCATCCATCCGTTTGCAATTTATAGTATTCTGCCCACAATTTATTTCGCTGGATTGTTGCAAGCACGACTGCGGTGCGATATATTATAGATTCTCTTGAATTGTTGTCTATGGATACGTGAAAATACGAACAAAAATTATTTGTTATACTTGACAAATTGTGATTGTTAGTGACTTAATACGACACTTATGAACGAAGCAGCAGCAGCAGCCGCCATTCAGAGTTATGAACGAACGCAATTCAAATTTTTAACTAATCTTTAATTTTTTTGAGTTTTGATATTCAAATATTTTGTTGCACATGTTGAAATGATATTGTCAAGTTGATACGTCGTCGTGAATTAATGAAGATAGGTACCTCGCGGTGAATGAAGATAAAAATGTATCAGTACGGCGGGGAGTGTCAAGAAGCACGAAGGAATGCCAGCCACTGGAATGATGAACGAAGAATATCTGAGTATTCGAGCGAGAAAGAGACACTGCCATATCGCTATCAATAATTATCAATAAGTGAGATCAATTGATAATTTACTCGTTGCATTAATTTTGCAATGCGATGTTTCGATCGTTCGATATTTGCTATCAATTTTGTTGCTACAAAATCTACTTTCATTTTTCTAATCGCATCTTATAGAGGAGCACTTCACTTCTTTCGTTCTAATCCTCTTTGCTGCACCGCATTCTTCAGGCAATCTTTTAAAATAAACACCGATTTATTCTTTTATAAGCACAAAAAATGCAACCAGATTTTGAAATGTAGATCCAAAATTGATATTGATAATAACAGCAACAACGACGGGACTTGGAACGAAATTGAAACGAAAACTGAACGCTGAATAAAAGTAAAAAACCGTGAAACAAAACAAAAATAATAGTAATTATATGATTACTACAAGTGTAAGTAAAAATAAAAATGTGAAAAACCGTCAGAATAATATAAATAATCATTATAAAATACGAAACATAGCGCACGACGACTCAACGTTCAGTTTCATTTCATTGACGGCGGCAGTGAAAGGAGAAATACCCACCGAAATACGATGCTGCTGGAAGGAGGCTCGAAAATCTTCCCATATGGTGCTCATATTTTTCATAGATTCGTTCGGAAACATTCGAGAA